GTATGGACCAAAAATTATTCAACGGATATGGATATGGAATTTATAGTTCTGGCTCGTATCCGACCCGTTGACAGGCCTACACACATGTATCATACAAGTGCTCATAGTTTAGACTTCATTGTTACTTGAAAGCATAAATTAAGTTTAACATACTTTTATGTTGTGCACCATAGCCATAAACAATCAAAGTGCAAAGGATAAAACATAATTTATTGGTTTAGAACTTTTATTAAACATCTATTGGGCATAAAGGTTCATCACTAGCCTTAGCCAAGAAATAAGCCTATACTGCTCATATTAATCACAATACAACTATTAAATGTAATGAAAGACTTTGTATGAAATTACAAAGGAAATAATACTTAAACACCAATAATTTTCGAAAGATAATCTCCACCCAGAACTTGAATAAAATAACAAGAACAAAAATATAAAAGCTACGAATTAAGCTATGAAGTGAGTGATGATTAGGGGGTGGGTTTGGGGTTTAATTAAATTAAAGATTGACATCTTTTAGTCGATTCAAGATCATAAATCAGATCAAATGAAATTTCATAGCTCCTAACTTCCAAATATCTAGAATGACCGGCGCCGTTTGTAGGTGATCTTTGCAGAAATACAGAATGACCGGTGCTGACTGCTTCATATGACTGGCCCTGGTTGCTCTCAATAGCTAACTCTTACAAAAATCCAGCTTGACCGACGCTGTTTATGTCCCGACCGGCGTTGATTGTTTCCCAATCGCAAGTTGATTACTTTTTCGTCCCTTTTTATGTTTGCGGTTGATCCATAAGTGCCAATTTCAACCCCATTTGACTTTTGACCCCATTTTCATTGCTTCTAGCCATCTTTCACATTCCTTGCTCACTTTGGGTTATCTAGTAGAGCTCTTATCGCCAACCTTGTCTCACATAGTCACTCCCTTCTCTTTATGTTTTTTCAAATAAATATAACTACGCAAGTAAAACATAAGTAATTATCATGATTATCATACATTTAGAGAGAGAGAGAGAGACATTTATACTTGAAACCGCTGGTATATTCTAGAGAAAAGACATAACTAGTTACTACAAAGAGAAAATGTTCATGAATAGATGATTTTTGAACCCTTACGATTGCCCAAAGTGAGGCTAATTATAGTACCAATAAACGAGGCGCATTTAATGCACCGTAATGTTCATCGGTCTGTGGACGGAGCCATGCAACATATGTGTGAATGACACGTGTTGTTGCTGATGTTTGATCTGGGCAGTCGAGGGTGCGTGTTACTCGTGTGTGTGTGTGTGTGGATGTTAAAGTCCATGTGAGGTGTTCTTAGCTGGTTGGTGGAGCCCTGATCGTGTAGTCCTTACCAAAGGTGCTCGGCTGAGGGGGCGCTGAACAAGGGGACACGGGAGATCGAGGCTTATCATATCAATTTTTTCGGTGAATATTGTGCGCATCCATGGCTGGATGAGGGTTCTAACAAGGATGTAGTTTGTCGCGTGTTCTGATAGGTTGGCCTGAAGTGTCTCATGAGTCTATGGGTCATGGGTCATGGGTCTAGAATCATACGCTCCATCGAGAGTCCTACACTCCCTTCGTCGTCAGTATCTAAGTGAAAGGGAGTAGTCTTTGTAACTCCACCTGGTCCTCTTTGTCTATAAGGTTCAGGTCAAAACAAAGTCCGTTAATCCCTCAGTACTTCAGAGTGAGTGTGTTCCCATTTGAAGGAGGAGGAGTTCATGTCGCTGAGGCGCTCTATCGATCCCTTAACTAATGTCTAGTCTTTGCGGCAAACCTCGACATAGGCAACCTCTGGAAGAAAACCTTAGCAGAAGATCACATGCATGTGGCCATCATAGACAGTCCTGTAATTGGGTATTTTGTATTGTTCCCCCTGTATGTGATGAATGAGGCTATAACACCCACCCGATCCAATTTAGACGATTCAGTTAATGAGACCCGATCCAACTCGACTCGAATTGGGTGGATGTTAGAAGTCCTGAGAACATGATGTAATTAATAATTTGATAACATGTCACTAAAGTAAGATTTATCACAATAAGACAAATGATCCAGCAAAAAGGCGGATTTAGCAACAACTAATACTACGTATTCAAAATAGTAAATATTGTGTGGACCACAACTCGGTCAAATAAGTTTCAATGTCAAAAGATTAACTTAATAACATATTTAAGAAGGTACGTGTGTGAGATTGCAAACAAGATATCTTCTTGTCTCTTGATGCTTCACTTGAAATGACATATCACCAATTAAAAATAAAAAGAAATGAAAGATCTACTTTTGTCTAACCCCCCTTTTGTTATTTTATATCACAATTCAATTTTGTTAGTATACTACTATACTGTTTTTTTGAAACTTTACTATATATTTACAATTCTTTCCGAAAAGTGTTAACATATGTGATGCAATGTAAAAAATTATTTTTTTATTCTTTACACTTTAAAATTACGTTACATATTTCATATGATGATAAATAGTCCAAAATTAAAAACCAGTGAATTTAATTTATTACGTTTAAACAAAACAAAAGAATTTTACTTCAAAAAAATATAACAATGTGTTCAAAATTCTGCAACAAGACTGAAACTAATATTTATGAATTTGATGTGCTTCATTTACAAGGGAAAATATAATAGTTTTGCAATTCAAAATTAAAGAGTTAATATTTTTACATAAAAATAAATATTTATTTTTAACTCTTTAATTTATTTATTTTTTAATTTCAAAATTTAAATTTATGAGTTTATTTTTGTTTTTTAAAATTATTTTATTTATTCAAAGTCAGTAAGGAAACATTAGGAGTGTCTTTGCACCATTTTGAAGCTCAAGGATATATTTAAACTTCCATATGTACTTCAGAGGTATATTTGCACTTTCCCTTCCAAATTAAGCAGGGGGTTCCGATTTATTAGGACAAAAATATATGGACCGTGCTTGTGAATTAAATAAAAGCATGTATTGAAGAGCATTTTTTAGGAGTCACGGTTTTTTTTGGAAATCTTTCTAATCTATTACAATATCTGTTTTGATAAGGTCAACATCTTTGAATTGAGATAGGATTCGAACCGGTGACCTGGGAGTCACTGTTAGTATATTGTATATATGAGCAAGAATTTTACTAAGGCTATGTTTGGCATGACGAGCTGAAGCTGGAGGCTAATGTCTGGATTAGATACTATTGTCTAAACTAGAGGCAATTGTATGGAGCTGAATTTTGAAGTGCTGAATCTGAAACACTAGCTGAATAGAGTAGACCCGTTTGGCAAAGAGAGCTGAAAAAGTGTTAGGATAATATGAAATTACCTTTAAGGGTATATGATTTATTAATAGAATAAATTATTTGTTATAATATTTTTAATATTTTCAGCCTTTTAAAATTTTAGTACATACTCAAACTATAATACTACGTCTACACATCTCAAACTAAATTATTTTGGGAGTAATTCTGCTACCGTCAACCTGCTCCCCCATATTGATCCCTGACTCCCTGTGAGCTTTGCGCATGAACCACAAAAACACCCCGGTAAAATTGCTTTGTAATGGAGCATATATGCTCCAGGTGAGAGAATGACAAAATGAGTTTTTGAAGTTGTGTGAGATGTGAATTCAGGTTGGGTCAGTCAGGGATATTCTTGGAACGCGGAAGTTTTCTTTCCATGGGCTGAATGAAACGCTTCTGTTGTAAACGTTTGATTTCAGTCATACAATTTCAGTTCAAGCACATATAAGCCTTTCTGCCAGATAAGTTTAATGATATTGTAATTAGTTTAATTTGGAAATTTTCAGCCGATGATCACCTGAAAAAGTCTGCCGAACATAGCCTAAATATCAATGATGGGTAGTACCAACTACCAACCTACCAAAAGTACTAGGGGGCCGACGGGCCGTAAACGAATGATGGACTACTCGGGTTTGGACTCGTTTAGGGTCTCTATGTGACTTGTTTTAGAGCTTGATTGTTAAGTGAACAAGGGTTGAACAATGAGAAACTCGTTTGATTTAGGCTCATGAACAACTCGGTCACAGTGTGGTCATGAACAAATTGTGTTGTAGTTCATATAAGGGTACATGAAAAGTTCTGATAAGTGATCATAGTTTTGTATCTTTCTAAAAAAAATCCATAGCACTAATCCGTTTACCCATATGGCCATATGTTTATTGCTCATACAAGTTCCATTTAATTACTCCGTACAAAGGTACAATCACTCATTTACCCGCACGGGAGCTCGTTTGGTAACTTTGTTCTTCGACTTATCAGTCAACTTTTTAACCGCACACGTAACTTTTCATTTTGCGAACTGAATTTGTATAATAAGAAAAAATAAGGTTATAGTCACATTCCTGGCTCTATTGACTGAAATTACCGTAGATGATCATTTTAATTAATTTTCATGCATTTTTTCTTTATTTTATTAATAAAATATATTTTAAATATAATTTATTCATAAATTAGTAGAATCAACCGATATAGCCACTTCGACTAGAACTTCATAAATTTCAGAAGAATCAGCTCATTTTAGAGCTCGTTTGGTAACATTGAAATTGGCTTAATCGGATGATTCTGTTGAAATTCATGAAATTCTAACTGAAGTGGTTGGATTGACTAATTCTGCTATTCATGAAAAAAATATATTTAAAATATTTTTTATTGCTAAAATAAAGAAAAATATATATGAAAAATAGCTAAAATGGTCTGCTACAATGACTTCAGCCATACGGTCAGAAAAGTAACTTCAACCTTACCTTTTTTTTATTATTACACAGTTCAGCGCGTGAAATAAAAAATTACGTATTTGATAAAAAGGTTGATTGATGAGTCTCATAAACCCAAAAAACAAGATTACCAAATGGGCTCTCAATGTTAACCATTGGTTGCATATTGTGGAAATTACCCGATAGATCCATTTTTGTATTCCCTATATCATTTATAGCCCACCTGCTTTTCCTTTTCATTTTTAACTTTTAAATTTTCAATTTGATTTTGTTATTTCACTTTTAGCCATTTTGCCAAACTCTTCAGCGAGAGATACGCAGGGGATTCCCGACCAGCTTTCTCATGGACGTGTGGGTGAACATTTCTGGGAGAGCCAACGAGAGATCAGACCATGTCAGAATGCTCGTCCCAGCACCGCCATGGAGCCAAGCGGCCATGCCATCGATCTCTTGCAAATCCATCAGCCTATATTGTTCTAATGCTTCTCAAATTAGAGGTATTCAGATCAGTTTCTTACGACTTCTCTACCAAATTGAACAAATTAAACCATAGAAGTTAACCTTCATCGCATCAACCCTAACTTTCGTCTCTTCAAAACCTACTACACAGTTACGCCTGTTCCCTCCTCATCCTTGTGTCTATATTTTTTCTATTTTCTCTGTTTTAAATTCCCATTTGCTGGCTCACTATTTCACGTTCAGAAAATCCACTCACTCTCGGAATCTCGAGGTATGTTCTTATCTTTCTGACAAGTTGGATCTCATCCTTCTTTTTGATTCATTTAGGTTCAGATTTCACTTCCCGCATCTTTCTGTGATTGACTTCAATGGCATCTGAGTTTCCTTGTCATTTGCCTAGTTTTCGCATGATTCTCTTCACCTTTGCTGTTAGTAATTGTGACGGGAATAAGAAATTGATGAATATTAGTTTGTGTTACTTTTTTTTGTGGTTTGTTTCGTCTATGTTACTGGTAATCATGAGTTAGATCCCATTTAGTGATATTGTAACTTCCATCGTTGATTTTTTGCTTGTAACTGCAGCTTATTTTTCATACATTACCTAACTTTTGTGTTTTGCTTTTCCAGCATTATTTGGAGGTGAAGAAAGTTACTTGAATGACTGATAGCTAAGTTCCATGAGGGTCTCTAGATTGCAGTTCTGAAAATATTACTTGGATATGATTGATTGTTGGTCTAGTATTAAACTATTAATTAGTAACATCAATTTGGAAACATACTCCATCCTTTTTATTTTATTTTTGAATTCATTGCTTAGTGTTTCTAACATCAGTTAGTGCCATTTTCTTTCCTTAATTGAATTTTAATATTTCTTAACTGAATATTTCTATATCAATCACATCACATTGTCTTTCTCTTTTGATGAAAGTACTTGGAATTGCTTGGTTATCGGCTTAGTATTTTTTTAATTGAAAAGGTTTGACCAAAAAATCAGAGTTGTGAAACATAAGGATGGCGGATTTTGGGGAAAGGAAGAAAGAATAAATTGATTTCTCGAAACTAATATGTTTTGCATGTTATATGTTTTGCAATTCTTGTTTTAAATACCATAAGCTTTGAGTTCTTACTCCCATAGTCCTGTTCTTCAGTTGTTTCTTTGTGCTGCCCAGGGAAGTAAGGTTGAAAGGTTCCCTCATCTCACAGTAATGTTCCTCCCTTAGTGGCTCAAAGAATAGCTCACTCAGACTCTTTCTAATCTCTGTCAGCGCTGCTTGAACCTTGCTTGGGTTTGTGCCACTGACATCAACTCGAACGGGAGAGAAGAAATAGCCCATTGCATCCACCTCAATTAGATATGTTCCAGCAGGCACGTACGCTATATATAGAACAAAAAGTATCCACCAGATCTTAAAATGGGACTCTTTGGCCACCATTAAGTACCACCATGACATCTGATGCTTTAGCCAGAAAATCAGATCCCTTCACGTTAAAGCCTGGTATTTTCACACGTCCGTTTATAGTATAAACATCACTAGTCTGTGAAGTGACGGCGAGAGGGCATAAGGAGAGCTGAAGACTGAAATTTCCTCGCATCACGCCGCCACTAAGGCCACTTCAATAGTTATCTGCTTAGTATTGGTCACTAATGACTTATAATCAGTGATACACGGGTATGTCTTGAATCTTGATGTTCTAGATATCATTTGTCAATATTGCAAGACTATTTCAGTTATAAATGCTAGATGCACACACTCCTTCATTTATTTATTTGCTAGGTTGCTAATAAATACATTGGGAATTGTTATTTTGCTCATCTCAAGTCCTTTATTGTTTTCATAGTTATTGTATTTTCATTGCAGGCGTTGCAAAAAAGTACATGGAGATGATAATAACATTGAAAGTATGAACGTGAAAAATGAAAACAGAAATGTTAAACCACAGAAAATGTGGTTGTGATTAGTCCTGGACTCGGGCCGGGCGGCCCGGCCCGGAACCGGCCCGGTTACTATTTGGCCCGGCCCGGCCCGGGGCCCGGTGGGTCCCTCGGTTCGGTTCGGCCCGGCCCGGCTGCTGGGCGGTTCGGGCCCGGGCCCAGGTTTTTGTGAACCGGCCCGGCCGGTTCGGGCCCGGTCCGGGCCGGATTTTAATTTTTTTTTTTTTTTGAAATTTTTTTAAGTTTTAGGTTGGATTAGGTATTTTGGGCCATTTGAGGTGGTTTGGGATGGTTTGGGGTTGAGGGGGAGGGGTAGGGGATTAAATAGAAGAACAAAAAAAAAAAATATTATTGGGCCGGTTCAGCCCGGCCCGGCCCGGTTTGGCCCGGAACCGGGACCGGAACCGGCCACCGGCGGTTCGGGCTCGGGCCTCCCTTTCCTGGCCCGAGGCCCGGCCGGGCCCAGGCCCGAACCGGGCCCGAACCGGCCCGAGTCCAGGCCTTGTTGTGATGCATAAAGAAAAGAAGAAATGATGTGAATCAAAGTCTGTGATGCATAAAGAAAAGAAGAAATGATGTGAAGCAAAGTCAAATAATATATCGTATATGATAGTATTAGATAAATGTAAAAATTTAAATAATAGATTTAGTTATGCATTTCTTGTGATGCTTTTATAAGTTATTCTTGTTGCTTTTTGTTGCATTATACATGTTGCTTATTGTTGCATCATGTTGCTTATTGTTGCATCATGTTGCTTATTGTTGCATTATGTTGCTTATTGTTATTTATAAATGCTTTTGAATTTTTTTGTTGTTTATTTAGATCAATGTTTATGTTTGCTACTTTTTTATAGTAAAAAATCATATATAAATATGTGTTCAATCACGTAAATTAATTAATTTGAATCTATGAATATAAATCAATCATAAGAAACATAAAGAAACAATAAAGAATATCATAGTGATCAACAAAACGAAACAAAAAAAAATAGACAACAAAAAACAACAAACTTATATAATAATTATTTTTAGACTTTCTAAGAATATAAAAAATGAACTACAAGATTCATATTTTAAGACCTTTTCAATTGTTCCAATGCTAAGTTAAATTTTTCTTCATTTTCACCTTTTTATTATTATTGAGTTTTATATTTTGAAATAAATTATGGGGTATACAAACTCTTCAAGATATTACATAACAAAAAAATCTTACTTGTATTTTTTACCAATCCAAATGTGATTATTTTTGTTTTCGAGTTATGTATGTATAAGTTGTTTTCAATACGCTTTTTTTTATATTTTTCTAATTAATTCTAAAATGTAAATACCTTTTCTTTTTTAAAAATAATTTAGAATTAGTTTCCAGGGAAAACATTAATTTAGAAGTTAATTAGAAAAAAATAAATTTTAGACTTTATATTTATTATTATGCATTTTCTGGTTTTTCCTTACGTCTAACATTTTATATTTTTATTTTACTTTTTTCGAATATTTTAATGTTTTTTAAATTACCGTACATTCTTACAATACTTTCTATTCAAAAACTCAATTTAAGTCTTGACTCTTGATGTGCGCTCTTTAGAACTAGACCTAGTACTCCGCAAGTTCCAGTGGATGGTCTATATCCGTGCGCACATGGTCTACTTATGAAAAGAAAAGGTCTGCTAGTCTATTTTTGAAATAAGATTTGGAAAGTGAAAAAGTTGATATTATTTTCCCTTTTAAGTCTACTTGTGTAGTTTTCCCTTGCATATTCTCATTTCTGTTTTGGGATTCTTTTGGGCACCTAGCTCCCTATATTTATGCATATATTTAGTTTTTACTCCCGACAAGTACTTCAATCACATTTTGCTTAAAATTTTAGTGAGGACTCCATAGCTTACGTAGTTCTGGCCTTCTGGGAGCCAACGTTGATCCGCCTCTGCCGATGGGTGTCAAACGGTCCTCGCAGGTGGCAACAAGCGACGATGACGGCGAAGAGTCGCCGCCGGCGCCGTCACTGGCAAATTCCCAGAAACGCAATAAAACGCCTCTCGGCGAGGATTACGAAGGAGAGATGCATCACAAGGAGGTAGATAAGATCAGTGAGGATAAACGGAAAGTAAGCAAGCGGAAAACGGTACAAGATTTAGAGGTTGATGAAGACTGCGAAGAGACAGGAGAAGGGGACAATAGGAGGAAGAAGGAAGTGGTAGAAAGTGAAGCGGAACCCTCTTCCGGTGAAGATAAGCAGCAAGAAGAGCCGCATGAGGATGCCAAGCCTGTCGGCGATGCCGTTAGGGTTAGTGGAAAAGGGAGAAGCCGGCGGCGGCACTATGACGCCTTTGAGTATAATGGATACCAGTTTTGCCTAGTGAGTGTGATTGTATTTTATTTTAGTGACGCGTTGCTTAATTTGCTTGAACTGTAGCTCATTTCCAGGTAAAATGCTTGAGTACCTTAACTATTACTCCATATTATTGTTTCACTTTGGTAGTTTAACTCTGAAATGAAACAAATGAGTACCCTATCTATATGCCAACCTTTGGACCGGTAAGACTATTCGAATTTCCGGCTAAAAAATCATAAGTGGCAGCTGGAATTACCCGGAATTACATGCATACAGTCTACGGTACATTACTTTTATCCATCATGACTTCTGGCTGACACCTAGCTTATTTTGTTCGGAAATTTGAATAGTATTGATGGTTGAAACATTTACTAATAATTATAGTGCCAATTTGTTTCATTTAAGATTTAAGATATAAAATGCAACGATACTAATAGTTCAGCTATTGTGTATGCATTTTACCCAATTTCTTGCTATTGGACCAGGGTTTGCCTTCTCCCAATGCGATTCATAAAATATATGCTCTTTGAGATTGTCTAGACTGGTTCCGCTAGTGAGAAATTCAGAATTTTTTTATGCTGAAGGGGGTCATGTTTCTCCGTAGAAATGATACAATTACTATTGCAAAAAAAACTCAGGATCTGGATTCCCAACTTATAAATAACCCCTATCTTCGTAACTTATGAATAATACATCCTCAAGCTCTTGCTTTAAATATTACTCCCTTCATTCCACAAAACTTGACCATATTGACTTTCCTTGGTCTATGATAGCCAAATTTGACCAATGATATTTATTAGTATGAAATTATTTGAAATATGAAAATTATATGGAAATACTCTTTGTTAAAAATGTATAAGTTTTACACAACTATAATAACTAAAATCATTGTCCAAAGTTCACTATTATTGATCAAGAAAAGTCAATTTGACCAAGTTTTGTGGGATGGAGAGAGTAACACTTTGGAGCCCAATTTAAAAAAGTGACTACTTTTACATATGGACAAAATTGCAGCTAATATGCTATTAAACTGGAAAACTGTAAATATCACTACTAGTTGTTTATTATGTCATAAGCAGTTACATTAATGTCACTACTGACGACCCTCTAGAAGGTAATCTCATTACATAAGGTAGTTTTATACTACATTCTGATATTCATTTTTGTTCAAATGGAATATCTTTTGCTTGCGTTTATAGTGTTAGTGAATTTTATATAATTAATTGTCATCCTAAACTTAATGCCACTGATCCCAACTAATTGGGATTAAGATGATGATAATGATGCTGATGTACATTTCCATATTATTTACATAAAGTATCTAATTTCTTTCCATTACGTATTTTTGTTACCTCTAGACATCATACACTTCCACAGCCCCATATGTATAGGGTTTTCAATAGATTGTGCTTCCCTTTTGCATATGTTACTATGTGTTATTTCTGTCTAGGAGGACTCTGTGCTGATAGTTCCGATGGAGACAAAACAAAAGCCTTGTGTTGCTATTATTAAGGTAATTCACTAATTGTTGTGATCAACATAATTTTTTTCCCTGTTTTTAACTTTTGTTTCTTACTTTCAACTTTTTTAAAATTGCGAGCATCCGTGACCTTTGACCCAAACAATCCTGCGCGCCGTGAAGTTAATGACTGGCGCGGGGGGATTCGAACTAGTGGCTTCAGAGAACTTTTTGTTCTTGGGTACAAACCAGTTGAACAATTCCAAAAGGTTCTTACTTTAATTTTTAGTTGTGCTGAATGGGTATCAAGCATCAAATTCTCTTACGTCTTATTCTTCTGTTTTTATGTTTCTAGATCCCTTACACTGTTTTAAATTAAACATGTCTTTCTAAACTTAATGGAGATTGTCCAATTTTTTCAGCAATGGAATGCATGCATATTTTTGTCCAATTTTCTTTTTTAGGCCAAGTATTGGGTGCTCTAACTTCTTATTCATGTAACATATGATGGTCTCCATTATTTGTGTTATAGTAAAATCATTCAATTTACAAGAAGTTTCTGTTCCCTTTGATTTATGTCTGTATCCCCCCCCGGATGTGATGTGCAGGATATTTCCATGACCAGCAAAGGGAGAGTGATGATAACTGGACAGTGGTTTTATCGACCTGAAGAGACAGAAATTAGAGCAGGTGCGAACTGGCCATCTTGTGATACAAGGGAACTGTTCTATAGCTTTCACCGCGATGAGATTCCTGCAGAGTCTGTCATGCACAGGTGTGTGGTGCATTTTATCCCTTCAAACAAGCAGATTCCAAGACGCATTCAACATCCTGGCTTTTTGGTCCAAAGAGTCTACGATACAGAACAAATGGATCTTTTTGAGTTGTTAGATAACAATCATGAAGATAGCAAGCAGCATGAGCTTGATCTCTTAGTTCAGAAAACATTTTCTCGACTTGGGGATCTTCCTTACATTGAGTCTGAGCAGGAAGAGCTTTTGATTAAGCAGAAATGTCTTTTGAGGAAAAAGAGCACCACTTCTTTGGATGTCTATGTAAGGGATGAACGACCTACAAGATCAGTAGACACAGCACATCACTTCAAAGCACTTTCTGACTTCAATGCCCTTACCGGTGAAAAACACCGTGACAAGTGGTTGGAAAAGCTTCTCGAAGCAATTCAGTCTGTAAGCATTTCGCGTGGTGGTTGTGAAGGTGGCGATGTTGATGAAAGCAATGTTTTTTATGTAAGTTATATTTCTGTCTCGTCTGAATGTTTCTCGTACGATCTTATTCAAATAAGAGTTCAGATAACAAGAAGTAATTAGCAAAGGAGATATGGTGAACAAGACACACCTAGGTGATCTTTTTAGTAAAATGGGGCTCACGGAACACCAAAGCAGTTTGAACTTATACATTCTGCTCTGACTTTTTTAATAATAAAAAATATATGCATTCAGTGTTCCGCGTCTTCCGTCCTGATTGTTTTGATAGAGTATCAGGTTATGTAGACATTGGCTTTGATATGTTTGGCCCTATCCTTCACAGGGAGATGTGAAATTTTGTTGGCCAGACATTGCTGTTCCTGCAGTAGCTGCTGTTGAGAGAGCCGCATATGAAGAACTCTCATCTGATATCCATAAATACAATAAAAAAATGCACCAGCTATGTTTTAATTTGAAGGTTTGCTTTGGTGATGCTTTTCTTTAACCATATTTATGGACATGTATCCTGGGGATAAAAGTAATGGGTTTTGCTTAGCATATACTCCCTCCGTCCCTCAATACTTTGCCAAGTTTGACTGGCACAGGATTAATAAAGTAAAAACTGGAACCACAAATTCTTTACTTAAAAGGGAAAGTGGCAAAGTTAGTGGGACATCCAAAAAACGAAAGTTGGCAAAGTTATAAGGGACGGAGGGAGTATAATGTTTTCTCTAGAGGAAACGTTTAGATGCTCATCCATGTTTTATTAGCTACAAACCTTAGCTTTTATTTGAACTTCATTATATATGGGTTTTCAAATTGTTTGTAAATTTATTTTTATTTTGCAGAACAATGCGCAATTAGCTCAACAACTTCTAAAAGGGGAGTTAGAAGCTTCACAAATATTGACCATATTATCAAAAGAATTGAAAGTATGTGATCCTTTCTATATATTTGTTGTTGTTTATTTCATTGTTACACTTTCTTTCATCTTCTTTAAATTGTTTGGGAAGACACATCTAGCCCAATTTATTAACCAAATTGTAAGGTGGAGATTTGATTGTGATCAATTGGGTGGTGGTTAAGATCATGGGGAGGGGAAAAAGGATATCAATAATGGAAATTAGGTATTTCCTCCATAGGCATATCTCATTTTGTTAGATCTAAGCAAATGTTAAGACTTGTACTATTTACAATTTAGTTTTTGCAATATGATTTGCATGTCCCCAAATTTTTTTGGGAATAAGGCTTGGATGTGGTTGTGTTGTTGTAATATGATTTGCATGAATTTGTAGTTCTTACTAATTTAGACAATATCTTGACTCACAGAATGTGCGCTAATATTATACTACCTCCGTCCCACTATGGTTGGGACAAATGAGTGCGGCACAACTTTTAAGAAAAAAATGGAATTGTGTGGTTGGTATTGAATTAATAAAGTGTAAATAAAGTAAAAATGAATTGTAACCACCCAAATATTACCAATAATGGTATGCGACAAACTTAATGGGACGGACGTAGAAGGTAAAACAGGACAAAGTTAGGGGGACGGAGGGAGTAAATAATATCATTACCACCATAACCCCAACTTGTTGGGGAACTAAGGGCTTGTGGCACCATAACTCGAAATAGTTGATTTTAAGGTGATACTAATTTTTAATAACTGAACAAAGAAATTTATTTCCTATTTGACCACTAGATAATTATTGGGTCATACAACAGGATACACGAGAGTATAATTTTGGTGTGAGCGAAGAAGGGGACGGTATATGTGTGTCTCCCTTTTGTTTGGCACAGGGGTAAGGTTTCATACATCCGACCTCCCTTACCCCACCATAGGTTGATTCATGTTGGCCGACCCCAAACTCTTTTGGGATTAAGGCTTGGATGTTGTTGCACAAGAGGATAGACAGTGCACAAAAATACAATACTCCATAATATAGCTTCAGAGGGACATGGGGTTAAATCTAGAATACGTCACCAGCTATTTCCTCTCTAGCCAAAGCAAACCCGAAGAAAGGCTATTGATTTACATACTCCTAGTTGTTTAGATTCTGGGAGTTTTATTTACCTATTCTTCAGGTAACTGCATCCACATGTTTAGCATCCACATGTGATTTTAGCATTTTTATTTTTGAATGATGCATCCACATAGTTACCCCAATAAGATTAGGATTGCAGTTTTGTGCTTTTGTTGTTGTAAGGATTTGCCCTTCAATTTAATTACAGGAGGGGAGGGTATGACCACAGAGGAAATAGCATGTAGGCATTCTGATAGTATAATTGCTGCCCTTACACACCATCTGCTTATTCTTCATTAGATAGCATAATTGTTGGACTTTTTTAATTTTATGTTTGTGGCATTCTCTGGAAATGATTTTCTATTGTATCCAATGGAGCCAAAGACTCGCTATTTTTTGGCTTGGGAATATGATGGAATAAAGCAAAATGGCTCACTAAACTTTTTGCGCTTCTGTGTTATGAAGCAACATTCAGTCCATGCAATTTTCGACGCTACTTTCATCATGGGTAATATGGTAATATTCTCTCTATGCTTTAGTACAAGTGTAAGATTGAATATATCTGACCCCCTTACCGCACCATAGGTGGGAGCCTTTGTGGCACTGGGGTAATGTTGTTGTTGTTAGTTGTTGGCATTCTCTTGAAATGACTAAAGCTTAAAATCTGTTGTTGAATTGGTTGACATAGTTACTACTTACTATTTTGAATTTCAAAGTGTGGTGGTCAGTGTAATAAAGCTTGTGTTGGCTAGAAACTAGAAAGTTAAGATTCATGGCTTTCGAGAAATTGCTGTAACTTTTGATTTTGGCTTGATGCAATAAGGGTAGCGAGGAACAAGTGTGCCTCTTAGAAATCATTCAGGCAGGACATAAGGAGCGCTGTGACGCTGTCTTTCTCTTACTATCAGATAGAGCATCAATGTTTCCTTCCTCTAGATTGTTGGGCTCAATTACAGTCTGTTATTACAGTCTGTTTAAAGCTTTAGTCATATAAATACACGATAATGATCACGACTTTTTCTTTTTCAAACTTGTGGGACCAGGGAAATGGTACGGAAAGAAAAAAGAAAGGTAATGAAAGAAATCATCCAAAAAATGTCTGAATTTATGTTAGATTTTATGTAGGAGCCAGAAAAAATAGAATAAGAATATGGTGGGGGGGGGGAGGGTAGAAGGGGAATTTAGAAAGAAAGCAAAATTAGTGGAAATATATATTACTACTCATATTAACATATAGGCTAAAGGGTCAAATAGGCCCTCAAGCTAACTTATAAAGTGCAATTCACCCCTAATATAGGAGGCTTTGTCCGGCCGTCGCCAATTGGGGCTGTTTCTGGTGGAAATTTTTGATGATTTTTTTAGCATCGTCTTCATTAAGTCTAATTTTCTCGTACCAAATTTCAGCTAAAAATTTAATCGGGAAGGCAGTCAAATAAATTTTTGAAGATAACTGCGTAGTTAAACAGCGCAGTACATTTGAGAAAATCATTTGACTGTCTTCTTGATTGAATTTTTATCTGAAATTTGGTATAGGTAAACTAGACTGAATGAAGAAGATGGTCAAAAAATTTCATCAAAAAATTCCATCGCGAACAGCTCCAATTGGCGATGGCCAGACAGAGCCTCCTATATAAGGGATGAATTGCACTTTTTAAGTTAGTTTGAGGGCCTATTTGACCCTTTAGCCTAACATATATTACTACTGGGTACTCTCTCTTTCTCATGTGTGATGATCGAGTCCAGACAATATTTTGTAAGCACTTTCCAAAACAGAGTAGCATACAAGTTTAATTAACAAGTTTCTTTTTTGGGATGGAGTGGTACAATAAAAAGGCAAAGAGGGATTTGGTGGGATGGAGTATTAACTAAAGTAGTGGAGGTTTTGGACATATGTATTAACCAAAGTCTTATATAGTGTTTTATTGTTTTATAGCTTTCCGGTGTGGGACAAATACTTCTTTAACGATATGGAGTTCCACTTAGGGTCTTTGGGATTTCGTGGATGATTTCTAGTGCATCATCAAATTCATGGGGAGATTTCCCTATAATTGGGTTCCAGAAAATTTCGTATTTAGATTTCCTATTTTGGATCATAACTTCATCGTCTCAGCTGGAGTGTGGACCATGTGAGAGTACTAGGTACCCATCAAGAGATGACTTTGCAACACTCACTGTACAAGAAGAGCAGAACATTGCAAGAAATGTTACACGGGACAACACTTGAGCTCCTCTTCTCCAGCCCCTGAGGTGGAGACAAAGAAGAAGCTGGCTAATGCGCGAGCAGTTAAGATGGTAGATTGGTAGAAGGCACAGCTGACAATGCCTGAGTGAATGACCACTCTTCAAAGGTATTCGTTTGGCTTCAAAAAACCGGGTTATCTATTTTGGGGCATATCTTTGTTATCATAAGCTCGATGATGACCGCGCCTGCTAGTTTACTCTACTCATCATCAGAGTAAATAGAATGATTTATTTGTAGTAAATAGATTAATAGAATTATCATCATGATGACTAATAAATTAATGGCAGCATTAGTCAGTTAGAACGGAAGGACAATACTTTTGTAACAATGTCATTTCATAATCAGACAGCTGTGTATATGTATGTGCTTTATTACAGGTTCTGTAATTTGTACATGCTTTAGTAGTAGAATCATTGGAATATTGGACAGCACAACTGCACAAATTTTACCGTGATAGCAGTTGTATTTTACCGTGATAGCTTCCATGCCATATCAGTTTTGGTGGTGGGTCAGTCTTAGTGTCTTACGATCAGAGTTCGTTTCATAATGCCAAATACTTTCAAGTTTCAAGTGAATGGATTTACTGAAATCATGCTTGAAAATGGTTGGATCTCTTCAAGTTCTATGTCAATTGGGCGTTTGCATCTCTTTTTGAAAGTATTACTCCGTATTGTTTTTGTTCCCCAAATTTCAGAATTTGTACCCCATTCGTTCTTTGATTAGAGTGTACCTTGTTTTATTCTAACTTTTGAATCCAAATATTAATGACTTTCTAAATTAGATCAAAACTCAAATTTTAACGAAAAACGGTATACAAAATACGAACTCCGATTCCCAATATTTTTCTCTAAATATTTATTTGCTTTTAAACAGAATTACAGATTAACGCCTTAACGGAAATGTAATATCTAATTACATTCGTATTGTTTTCAGATTTTCAGTTTCATGTATTATGATTCTAAAAGAATATATTTCATAAATCATAATGAATAAAAAAATAATCATGTATATCGTGATGCTAATTTAATAATGTAATTTATGAAGGAGCTGATCACTATTAATTTATCTTTATTAACTTGTAAATCACACCTTATAACTACTAAGTTTGTTGGCATTCTAAATGCACTACCTTCTTCGGAAATTTTATGTTAGTAATCCATAATTCCTATTGATATTGTAATCGATTATTCGTGAAATGTGTACTATTATTTGTAATATCGCTATCATATTGTAATCGAGTATTTGTGAAACTACGATAGCAACCTTCATAGTTTCAATTTGAAGGTAGTACATTTAGAGCATATCCAATGCACTCAGTCCATTCACTCCATTGCAAGTGAAGTGACAAAAATTGATCTAGGTCTACTTAGAAGGTGAGTCCGCTATTGACAAAAAAGATGGTCCATTGAATGAGACCTCCAATGCGCAACAATGAAGTCAAATACAAAACAAAAGGAAAATATCAGAAAACAAAGAGAAAAAATAAAATATGACAATCTATAAATGTAGGCCCACCTTTGCTTGTCAGAAGGTTGTACTGAAGGTTCATATATCTTATATGGACCTTGTGTTGGACTATGTTACCATTTACAAATGCCACATCAGCTCAACCATGTCCACTTTATATTTGCATTGAAATAGACAATTATCTTTGAGGTGTGCATTTGTTGAGGCAGAATCATAATTCATCTCAGCATTGGAGATGTCCTTATAATGTCAACAAATCATGACTGGATGAATATAGTTTGAATTATAATGGCAACCTAAACAGAACATAATGAATCTGAGCAGTGTGAAATCCATGATTAGATGCTACATCTTGAGTGAGTAGCACATCTTCACCATCCATCATTTTCTTTTGGACTTTCAAATCTCTTATAGTGTCTGGGATGTTTAATGTCAATGATACGCTTGTAATTTCCGTATGTATGTTTACGTTTTTAGTTAGTTTTAGTTGTTTAATATTTCAGAAATTACACACTTTTGGTGTAGTAGTTATGTTTGTAAAATAGTTGTAATATGTTTAAATTAGGTTTATTCTGAGCTTAAACAGGTCCAGGATCAATCAAATGATCATTGGTGAGACCAAAAGAGGAAGAAAAGTGCAAGAATACAAAAAGAAGAAGGAAAGTTCCCGATTTTGACCTGTACCCGGTCGGGTATACCCTATAACCGATCGGGTACCCACTTGACTTTCAATCAGATCAATTCGGGAAACAAAGGGACGTGCAGGGGAAGATTTGGCCACGATCAGTTGTTATACCCGATCGGGTACACCGACACACCCGATCGGGTATACCTATAATTTTTACCCTAAGTTCGACCGAGTATACCTCGAATATGAGGTTTTACACATACCCGATCGGGTACCCTATGCGTACTTGATCGGGTACCCGAGCTGCACCTCCAAAATGCCTATAAATACATCTCCTTCCCTTCACAAAAAGATACCAATTCCTATACACTTCTAAGTTCAGTCTAGATAAGTTCTTTGTTTATATTTTCTTCATGATTAGTCTCCAAATGAGGAGCTAAACTCTTCCATCTTGGTTTTGCTACTTTGAAGCTTAATGAATTGTAAGTTGTGAGTTATTTTCTTTAATCTTCTTCCTTGAATATTAATTAATTCCTATTCCTATTTCATATTAATATTTTGAGCATTACTTAAAGGATCAACTAGTTTTGTTTCATATATTAATTAATACTAGAATCGGTCGATTAATACGCTTGTTATTAATTCGGTCCTTTCACAGTAGTAAACTTGGGTTGTTAATGCATGCGTCTCATGGTTAATAACCAAAGGGGGATTAATTATATTGATTAAACCAATAAACCGCTTGTGTTGAGGTTATCAATCTCAATCATTTTCATTTTGATTTTATTGCTACTATCAAGTGAATATACGGCGCGTGTTCTATATTAACTCAGTAGTAAGTTTTATTAATGTACGCGTCTCGTTATTAATAACTACCCTCAATGAATTGGATATACTCCTCGATTGAGTATTCGAGAGGAAGATAGTTAAAGATATAACCGAGATCGACGAACTCTTCATTAAGTGGATAAAAGCAAAGCCAAGTCTCCTTCTCATTAATTAAACCACATAAGTTGTTCATCTTCGTATTTAAATATAATTTAAGTTCATCAACCAATCATAAAAACCCCTTGTTACTTATTTCAAGTTTTATAAAAAGAGAAGTATTCATTTCCCTGTGGATACGAACCTTACTACACTATACTACGTATTAGTGTCGTATTGATTATTATTTTGAGTGCATACACGACAAAGTGCACGTCAGTCAACATCCTTGACTGGGATGAGTTTCGAACTGATGACCTTCTTCTTAAAAATGACGCAATAATACCATCGAACTACAATGTATTTGGCAACATCCAACATTTTTTTAATGTTAATTGACTCACTCTAATGAGTTTGAGTAATATGAACCATACAAACCTATACGCACCACATATTAAACTACCTTTTTTGCAATTTATCACTACTTATAATATCTCTTACACATTTTTGATATGGTCTTACATCTTTTTTAACAGATTTTAAAATGTTTTTAATAGAATTTATTTTATTCTCATACCCAATCAGACTAGACTACACTGAGCATATCATATCACACTAGATTAGACAAGATTAAACTAGACTTAGACAATAATAAAATACATTTAAATAAAAAATTTACCCAACCAAACCAAACCAAACCAAACCAAACCAAACCAAACCAGATTAGACAATACTAGACTAGATTTAAATAAAACAAATTGGACTAAAAAAATTAAGTCCAATTTTTTTTTGAACTCCAACTGACTGATATATTAATTCACCAAATCGTGTGCCAATAGGTTTACAATAGAGTCAGGAACAAGATCATAACAACATGGCTGATCTGAGATAGTAACATTGTGCTCTTGCTAACGCATGAGCTACACGAATCGCAGATCGCTTACAGAAAAAGAGAATAAAATTATTTTTTGTTTTCAAAAAATTCCTAATGTCATTAAGAATAAGGTAGAGGTAAGAGGGCCCTCCCCCATTTTTGAGGCCCTAGACCACCGAGAGAGCATCTGTCTCAATCTCCACGTGTGACCAGCCTACTTCGACCGCCCCTACCAATGCATCACGTACACCCAACGCCTCCGTTTCTGCCACCGACCAATTAGCTAGTTCGGAAGCCCCTTTTGCTTTATGAAATCTCCATGGTGGTCTCGTACAACCCACCCCCAGACCCGAATATTGTTATCCTCGTTCACTGCCCCATCCACATTAATCTTGACATAGCCATGCTCTGGTCTTTTCCATACTGTCAACGAGCTAGCTTCTTTCCTTCCCTGCTCTGTTCCCCAACATCCTGTGCATCTCTCCAGCTTGATATAATTCCTGCCGCCGCATTGAGAACCCCTACAGTCCCTTGCCACCTATCCTTCCAAACACATCCATTCCTTCTCTTCCAGAGGATCCGTAGTATAGAAATGAATCTGCATTGATTCCTCGTTTGCTCCTTCCAGTTGCTGCAAGATCCACGTAGCCAGAGTCTGCCGGTTTTCCCAGGTCGACGCCCACCTGCCTCTAGACCTCCTTTACTTGATCACACAAACGAAATACATGATTTAGAAGTTGTTCTCTTCGCCTGATCTGAATGTTTTTTATCTAAATTTTTTAAGTTCTGATCTGATCTGAATTTTTCTGATCTGATCTGATCTGAATCTTTCTGATCTGATCTGATCTGAATCTTTCTGATCTGATCTGAATCGTTCTGATCTGATCTGATCTGATCTGATCTGATCTGAATCTTCCTGATCTGATCTGAATGTTTCTGATCTGGTCTGATCTGATGTGAATATTTCTGATCTGATCTGAATCCTTCTAATCTGATCTGAATCTTTCTGATCTGATTTGATTTGAATATTTCTATGATTATAATTATAATTATAATTATAATTATAATTATAATTATAATTATAAATTATAATTATAATTATAATTAATTATAATTATAATTATAATTATAATTATAATTATTATAATTGCAATTACAAATATAACTTAAATAAAATTATAATTATAATCGTAACTATAAAAATAATTATAATAATAATAATAATTAAAATTAAATTTAAAATGAAAAAATTTATACATATTACACTAATTATAAATATAGATATAATTATAATTGTAATTATATTTTAATTATAATTACTTATATAATTATAATTGTAATTATAATTACAATATTTATCTCTATAATTGTAACTATAGTAATCAATATTATTATAATTACTCCGTAAAATAATTACAATAGTAACAACAACAATAATAATATTAATAATTATAATAAAAATAATAATTATAATCATAAATTATAACTATAATATAATTATAAGTATATTTATAATTAATAATAATTATAATTATATTAACATTAATTGTAATATTATAATATAATAATAGTAATATAAATACAATTAATATTATTATAACGATATTATTATTACAATAATATAATAATAATAATAA